CTTACAACCTCAGCCTCAAGGGTATATAAACCTTGTTTCTTCACGCCTCTCAAGACTTCCTCTGACCCCTTCATGACTCTTAGGATACTTTTCTCTCCTTGAAAAACGTATCCTTTTCTGTCGAATTCACCAAGAGAAATCAAATTTCTCTTCAAGTCAGGTACATACCTGACTTCAATCAATAACCTTATTGACTCGTCATGGAGCTCGAATCTCACAGATCCAATACCTGCAATTTTGCAAGATTTGTTGTTTCCCAGCAGCACAGATCCACCATCTTGATCACGTAGCTCCTCGAACAATTCCCTGTTTGGAGTCATGTGCCAAGTGCAACCTGAATCCATAATCCACTTTTTTCTCGAGTCGCCACTTGAAACCACAAGAACATCAGATGAGTCGAAGTCATCTTGAACAATGGTTGCATTGCCATTACCTCCATGATCTTCCATGCGTTCAGGGCACACCTTTCTTATGTGACCCTCCTTCTTACAGTGATAACATCGAATACTAGATGTTTCGCCACTATAAGACTTCTGTTGACTTTTACCATTCTTCTTGTCGAACATACCATCCTTTCGCAAGAATTTTCCCTTAACGGCCAAACCTTCGCCCACCGTCGAAGGTTTATGCTCCTTTCGTTCGTTCAAGTCCTTAGAATACAAGGCTGATTGAACTTCTTCAAAGGTCAGGGACTCCCTTCCATACAAGAGAGTTTCTTTGAAGTGAGCATGTGTTCTGGGCAAATCACACAGTAGCAACAGTGTTTGATCTTCATCGTCGATCTTCACATCAATATTTTCAAGATTAAGAATCATCTTGTTGAACATATCCAACTGCTCAGCCAACACTTTGTCTTCACTTATCTTGAATGAATATAAAGCTTGCTTCAGGTAGAGTCGATTCACCAGAGATTTGGTCATGTACAAACTTTCAAGTTTCACCCATAATCTCGATGCTGTAGTCTCCTTTGATACCCGCGGAAGAACCTTATCACCAAGGCTCAACAATATTGCGCTGTGGGCTTTCTCGATCATGCCCGTCTTTTCTTTTTTCATTAACGCAGCGTCCATGGATGCCTCACTCTTCAACGCTTCCAAACAACCCTGCTGAACCAATAGGGCTTTTATCTTCAAGCGCCACAGACCAAAGCCGTTCACTCCGGTGAACTTTTCAATCTCATACTTTGTTAAAGGCATCTTCTCCATGCTCACTGCACGAATTTGTTGTGAATCAGATACCTTGATATAGAATCAAGATTCAAAAGCCTCTATTGTTTTGATGAAGACAACTCATATCAGCTTAGCTCGTAAGATACTATATACCCGTGCAGGTATATACACTGAAGATAAAATCTGAAGCATCTCTATTCTGAACTCTTCACAAAAAGAAAGAGGTGCAAGCATATCATTAAGAATACATTATCAAGATCAAGGCAAAGTCATTTATCAATATGGATCAAGTTTCATCTATCAAGTTTCAAGTTGTGTTGAAGATTCAAGACACGGTACAACATTGTCTACTTAGAACTATGTATGCAAGTGTTCTTTGATCTCACTTCACTACACCACTAACTGAAACCATTTTAAAACTATTTTAAAATACTCTTGAATTTTTAAATTAAGTATTTTTGGAAAATCTTTCAGTGTTAACCAATTAACCTGTGGGGTTAACCGATTAACACAAGTTAAAATTATGATTTTGGGAATTTCTTACAGTGTTAACCGATTAACCATATAGGTTAACCGATTAACACATGTAAAATTTGAATTTTTTGAACGTTGGAAAGGTGTTAACCGATTAACCCATTTGGTTAACCGATTAACACTGAAACAACAACCAAAAATAGCAACTGTTCATGGAGAATTACATTGCTCTATGATTTTCTTACTGGCTATTTTTTCTGTCCCATAATCATACCTTTTTGAAAAGGTTTTTCACTCTTATAAATTGATTTCAGTTTTCAAAATCAAATTCACCTTCAAGAAACAAATTTCAAAAATTACTCTTTGCCTTCAAGCTTTTTGAATTTTCAAAAGTGTTCAAATCAGAATTTTGAAACAAGCCATTGAAATACACTTTCACATCTTTACAGTTTGCTTTCACATAAATAACACTTGTATAATTTCTTAGTAATCTTTGTTTCGAGAAGAAGATCAATATTTTATATTGATATACATTCAATTGTTACTTATATACAAATTCAAAATTGACTACAACTTATTCTTAGAATTATAAAAGATAAGTTTGTAGGGTTTTCCTTGTGATCCAGATTGTGGATACAAGAGGTCCTTATGTGAAATATTCATTCTCGGTAGGACTTAAATATTGTGTAAATCCAAGAAGGGTGTTCTTGGTTGTTAGGATTGTCTTGTGTAGAAATCTAACATTGATAGTAAAATTATCTTTCATGTTGAAAGGGGAGTGGAGTACTCTCGGATTGTGAGGGGAACCACTATAAATCGTTGGGTCCTTTTACCTTCTGCTTTTTACTGCTTTTTAGCACCTAGAAGAAATTAAAGAAGAAAATCCAAGAATCATAAAAATCGGAAAAAGTTTCTAAGAACCTAATTCACCCCCCCCCCCCCTCTTAGGCATACATATAACTTACACTTGAGACAAAGTATAAACAGTTTCTTAATGATCAAGAAACACATAAGGGTTAAGGTTAATAAAGAAGACAAGGTAAAACAACAAGGAAGAACAAAGATTGCTTATTAAACTTCTATGCTTTCCTTTCTCTTAGAACGAGATTACAAGTATACAAGAATAACAAAATAATATCTCTCTTGAAATTGGGATTTTATCTTCCTATTTTTCCTTATCACAAGATTGAGAAACTAGTATCCTATTTATAAGAAAAATAGCACACTAACCTAATGGGCTTTTTAACAATTACCCATTACAAGCTAACTTAAACAATTGGGCTTACAAGCAAGGCTCGATTCAACATGCTAACAACCCTAGAAATATTGACTAATGCATGTTAGAACAAACTTCGACTACAACACGCATTACTCGCAAACAGACTTCGACCATACTAGAGTTCGATCCAACATCTCACACAACTCAAGCAATCTGTGCTACACTGACAAAGAAAAAAAAAGCCAGAATACCAAAATCATCCTAGGATCAACAATTTCCATTCCACTTCCCCATTTCCGCCACCATTGAATTCTTCGAAGAGCTTAAAAAATAAAAGTCTGGGGAAACGTCTTTCAAACACACTTCACCAACCTAAACTGAAGACCAGAAAGGGACCGAAGAACCATCCCCCAAAACGTATCTACACTTGCCTTTAAAAGCTTCGACACTTTTTGTTTTCTCCAAAGAAAGAATGTCTTTCCACCAAGCAAAACAAAAGAAAAAACTAATTGATTAGGTAAAAGAGAGATGTGATGAGAAATGACACTGTATCTTGTCGTAAGAACCTCTCTCCACATGAATTTGTTGCCTTATAAGATCTGTCATCTCCACTTCTTGAGCAATGTCACATTGAACTCCTCTACCCTCTTCAAACCCAAAGCACTAGAAGCGAGAGGCTTACACAGCTTCTCCCGGCCCATCCAATGAATCCTCCTACTGTTGTCGACACCTCTCCACACAAAAAAAAGCATTTTGAATTTTGGTGCTCTCATTATACACCTTCTTAGGAGCTTTGTAAAAAGATAATACAAAAACCGAAAAGCTAGTCCAAATAGATTTCAACAAAATAATACAATCGCCAAGACTTAGTAATCGCCCTTTCTAATTATTCAACCGAACTTTCAACTTATGTAGAAGAAAATCCCATGATGATATCCTTATAGGATTCAACCCTATCGGGATGCCGAGAAAATTAAACTCCAAGCCTTCTAACCTGCAAGAAAGAAAGTTAGTAGTTGCTACCATGAAGTACGGATTGATATTGATTTCAATCAATATACTTTTCAAGAAGTTAATACCCAGGCCATAAATGACTTCGAAGCCTTGCAGAACAGGTTTCAACAACTATATATGTTTCCAATTGTCTTTACCAAATAATAATGTATCATCCGCGTATTGAAGAATGTCTATCAAACAAAGACAACCGACCAAATAAATTGGTCTATAATCATGAAGATCCAAAGGATTTTTGTTTTTGGGAATCAAGGCGAGGAAGGAGGAAGAGATAGCCTTCAAGAAAGTGGCCTTCTCATGAAACTCATGAAAGAAGCAAAAAATATCATTGATAAAATTCCAATACTTCCTTAGAAAAAGGAACTTGTATCCATTAGGCCCCAAAATTTTCGATCCACCACAGCCCCAAAACGCTTCTTTGATTTCTGACTCAGTGAACTTATCTTCGAGCAAACGACTGTCATCACTTGAAATCCTTTTAAAAGGAACAACCTCGGGAACATGACGGTTAGAAGAAAAGGAATCCTTAAAACATTTCGAGAAATACTTGAAAACTTCCTCCTTGACACCTACGACACCTTCGATCAAACCATCACTAGAAGGAAGGGATCCAATGAAGTTTTTATGACGCCTTTCCTTTATTACACTATGGAAGAACTTAGAATTAGAATCTCCATCACAGTCCCAATTAAGCATGGATTTCTACAGAAGTAAGTTTTCTTTCTCCTTCAAATTCAGCCAAAAACGGTTTGTAACCTCCCTTCTACAACGAGTCAAATCGGTTACTGCATTCTCTTTGCAACAAGGAAAATGCCCATCATAAAAATTGTTATCCTTGCTGCCAGCATCAATCTCTAAGTCTATCTTTCCTAACACTTCTGAATTCCAAGTACGTAAGCTACTTTTTAATAACCTGGGTTTCTCTTTAATCACGAAGTCTTCCCTACCTTCTACCCTCAAACTCCGCCACTCTTTTTAACGAAAGGAAGAAAATCCTTGTTATCAAACCAACAATTATTCACCTTGAACGACTTTAGACCTCAATCCTTTTTGTTGAAAACTATCCAAATCGGGCAATGGTCAGAGATGTCACAACTGCCTATTAATTAACCCATTATTCCCCATCAATCGATAAGCGAATTTGATAAAAGGAAGCTATCTAATCTACTCATAGAGTTTTTGTTACTGCTGAACCAAATGTACTTGTTCCCCTTGCAAGGGAGATCAACCAGAACAATTTGAACAATGAAATTTGAGAACTCTAACATATTAGAATTGTTCCTACTTGAAGCCCTCCCTTTCCTCTTTCTGTTGTTGATAATCAAATTGAAGTCCCCACGCATTATCCATTCTCCATCCAAATATTTATCCTTAAACACCAACAGCTTCTCCCAAAGTAAACTTCTAAGAGGCAACGAACAAGGCGAATACACATTGATAACATAATAGTTCGAACCCTTCCATAACAGCTTTAACCCCAAGCATCCTTCCCTTTTGAAGTTGCAGATAACCTCGAAAAGATCCTCCTTCCATAAAGTGATGATACCCCCAAATTTCCCTTTGGAGCTAACAAAAGACCACCCAACATTTCCATTGTTCCAAAAACTCCTAATAATACATGCATCAACAACAACCAACTTGGACTCTTGAATCATAAAAATATCCACCCATCCACGATGAATTATCTGATTAATCCTCTTCCTTTTAACCAAGCTATCTCCCTCTCTAATATCCAAAGATCTAATGATCATTTCCCACGATTGATTGACCCTATAGGAGATGTGTGTCGCCATGGACGAGTTGCACCGTCATAATTAGTGTTTAGAGGACAACATCCTAAACATTATATAGTGCCAACAAGAGGCTAACCCTAACAGGAGATAGAAGTGTTGGACCCCTAGAAGCTTTTAGATAAAATATAGGAAAAGATTGTCTTTGAAGGGTTAAAGTCTTCCTATTTGGCAAAGTTTGATGGGCTTAGTAATCCTTATGAGCACATCGGATCCACTAACACATAAATGGACATCATTGGAGTGCCTGGCTCCTTGAATTGCAAACGTATATGTGGTACCTTGGGGATGCAGCTTTGCGATAATATATGGGCCTACCTCGAGCTTCCATTGCCAACTATCAGGAACTAGTAAAGAAACTCATACATCATTTTGAATCCAGTTGCACAAGAAGATGTCCACCACCAGCCTGTTTATCATAGGACAAAGCCCCTCAAAGTTGTTGAGAGAATACCTTGCCTGCTTCAATGAGGCTACAAACCAATAAAAGTTAGTTGGGGAGTTTCTGAATGGTCTCAAAGCAGGACATTTCAACGAGTCTCTCAGCTAGAGTCCAGCTTTTTCATTAGCAATAGTGGTCACAAGGTGGAATGCTACATAAAAGGAAAGGAGAGCAACACCTAGAAAAAGGAACGAGGCGTAAATTATTGTGTATCTAGAGCCGAAGTTTCAAGGAACCCAAGGAATATCAACTATACCTCTCCCATAAAGGATAAATTTGCATTCAAGTCACACTATGAACAAATCTAGATAGAGGTTATCCACTTGCATATTATCCATGTGTCTTCATCCCCAAAAGAAAACATTATGGGAGTTGAGCCAAGTAGATGGTGTAAGTTCCATGAAGTTAAAGGGCACCACATAGAGGACTGCTACCAACTCAAGAAAGAGACTGAGTGTTTAATCCAGGAGGGATACCTCAAAAAGTATGTCAAAGGAGATTCCTCGTAAAGGTCAGGAGGATTCAACTTCTGAGTGCAGGATGATGCAGAAATCCCCATGTTCTAAAAAGGGAAAGAATCCATTCAAATAGGAGGGAGACAAGGTTGTGCGCCACACACTTAATACAATTGTAGGAGGATTCGGCGGGGGCGGTGAGACTAGCTTCACTCCTAAAAGGTATGTCTGCCATGTATTGAATATAAAAGATCCTTCTAAAGGAGTTAGGGGAAGGTGAGACAAAGACGACAGAAACCAAATCTCCTTCTCAAAGAAAGGTGCAGTAGGAATTCAATCGCAAAATGATGACCCTGTAGTCATCACTATTAGTTACGACAACTGGGAGGTGTTGCGGTGGAAATAGGATCACAAACTATTAATGAGTTTGAATCGCAATTCAATTCACAACCGCTCTTTGATTTATCCGAAGGAAAAGGTCAAAAGAGGGAAAACCTATTTTGCATCGTAAACACAATGCGGGGAAAGATCTAGGGTTCGGGGGTTGGTTAAATTTAGGGAAGGTATTAGCACCCTAAACTTCTGTAGTACTCTACAGGAACCTTTTGTTCAGATGTTTACTATTTGCTTTATTCATTTGCTTAAGGTATATGTACAAAGGATTAAAAGTGAGAAAGGAGACCTAAGGGGTTAATTCTAAGTTTACTCGGCAAGACATCGCATCTTGTGCCTACGTATCCTTACGGGAGTGGAATCAGAGTAATCGTAGTTCCCCTCAAAAGGGAGGTTAGAGACTTCTTGACTGTGGTCAAGGTCTCAAGGGGAATAAACGCATCTTAAGGACACGCTTACGTGGAGTGTAGAAACTCCAAATCTCTACGTTGTAAATTGTTAAGTTGTAATTAGGGTTAAATTAGGTTAGGGATTCCACGGCGGGAAACCCTAAAATGAGCGCGGCGGCTCTTTGACCTAATGCTAGGGGTAAAGTTGTAATTTTGCCTGCGGCGAGGCATTTGTGAAAATTAGGGTTTGTGAGGTTGTAAGGGTTGAAGGTGAGGACTATTGACACGGCGGTCAAACGGCTAGACCTAATTCCTTCGGAGGGATAAAACTGTAAAAAATGTGAAAATATGACAAATCATTATATGGAGGAATAATTAAGGTACAGAAATAAGAAAAGTAATAAAGGCAGAGGATATAAAGAAACAAAAAAACATTTCTGAAAACATGAAGAATATGAAAATATGTAATGACACTTAGAATGAAGTGAGGGAGGAAAATAGTGTGGGGCTGTGGCCACCACAAGCACATCTCAACCTCAAGCATGCAAATGAAATGCAGAAATAAAGAAAATAAAAGGTACACAAAATGACACGGCAAACATAAGGAGTTCCTTACGAAAAGGTTTTAATTTTTTAATATTTTAATTATGTAAAAAAATGTTTTAATTTTTTTAATATTTTAATTATATATATAAAAAGGTTTTAATTTTAAAATGGAATTACTTAGTTAAAAAAAAAAATTTAAGTTTAAATTATAAAAAAAATGTTAAGTTTAAATTATATATAAAAAAAATGTTTTTGGGAACAAAAAGGTTTTTTTGGAAAAAAATGTTTACGGGAACAAAAAAAAGTTTTTTTTTGGAAAAAAATGTTTACGGGAACAAAAAAGGTTTTTTTGGAAAAAAATGTTTACGGGAACAAAAAAGGTTTTTTTTTTGGGAAAAAATGTTTTAGTTTTAATAAAAAAAGGTTTTGATTTTGAAAAAGGTTTTGATAAAAAAAACAATAGAATTGCAAATGCAAACAGACAATTAATGGACATGCAAACAATCCTATACGACACAATCATGGTTCATACAGATCAAAATCTACAGATCTAAACAACAATGAAGGTTAACATGGCAAGGATGCAAATAAATATGAAAAGGCAAAAGGTTTAGTAATTTAACCTACGAAGCGGAGGTTTGCTTCGGTAAATGTGAAAAAGGTTTGAATAAGGGAACACTGGAGAGCTCCAATCCTTCTGACGAGTTGTGGGAACGACCGCCTTTCTTCCCTGGGGATCTCCTTTGTTTCTCCCTCTCTCTCCTCTTTTCTGAAGAAAACCTTCTGACCCCCTTTTCAACAAAGCAACACATGTATATATAGGGAACAAATTAGGGTTAACACCAAATTGTCAATAATGTCCCTAAAGCCCATTTTAAAGCCCAAACTAAATAATTAGTTAAGAAAAAATAAAATTTAAATAATTTAAAATAATTAAAATAAACTTAAAATAAAAACTAATAATCCTATTGATTCCTAAAATAAAAAATATTATAAAAGGAACAAAATTTTTCAATATTTTTTTATTTTATGATTTTTTGGATATTTTTATGAATAATTTAGAAAAAAGTGAAAAAAATAATATTTTAAAAAATGATTTAATTAAAATACGAAAATAATAATTAAATAATAATAAAAAACTATTTTTGTTATTTTTTAATGAAAGATAGAAAAATTTAGAGTAAAAATAATAAAGAACAAAAAAGTGACAAAGGTGAGATTTAATTTTTAAAATAGTTAGAAAAAAAAGATTTAATTTTAAAAAGAATTTAGAGGAAAAAAAAGATTTAATTTTAAAAAGAAGTTAGAGAGAAAAAAAAAGATTTAATTTTTTTAAAAAAGTTAGAAAAAAAGATTTAACTTTATAAAAGTTAGAAAAAAAGATTTAGCTTTAAAAAAGTAGTTAGAAAAAGGATTTAACTTTTAAAAAGTTAGAAAAAAGATTTGATTTTTTTTAAAAAAAATTAGAAAAAAAGATTTAACTTTAAAGAGTTAGAAAAAAAGTTTTAATTTTAAAAAGTTAGAAAAAGATTTAACTTTAAAGAGTTAGAAAAAAAGTTTTAATTTTAAAAAGTTAGAAAAAGATTTAACTTTAAAGAGTTAGAAAAAAAGTTTTAATTTTAAAAAGTTAGAAAAAGATTTAACTTTAAAGAGGAGTTAGAAAAAAGATTTAAAAAAAGTTAGAAAAAAGATTTAATTTTAAAAAGAAGTTAGATTTTTATTTTAAAAAAAGGTATTAGAATTTGATTAAAAAATGTGTTAGAAATTAATTTAAAAAAGGTTATAAAAAAAAATTTACTCTTAAAGAAAAGAAAAATTAAATTTTAATCTAAATCCTAAAAGTTAGTAAGAAGAGCTTAAAATGATTTAAATAAATAAACTAAATAGAAAAGAAAAAAGAAAAAAAAAAGTTAATAAAAAACGTTAGTAAAGTTATAAAAAAATTTAATTAAATTATTATTAGTTAAAAAAACAAGATTTAAAAAAAAAAGTTAATTTATTAAGTTAATAAAAAAAGAAAGGGTAAAATTTGGGGTATTACAGTTGCCCCTATTTAAATGGCTACACCGGACGATTTGAGTGGCGGAGACTCGAGGAATCATGGTGGAGGGATTTAAATATAGATAACCGAAAATTTTGCCCTTATATGCGACGATATGCAATGCTATGGACAAAACTGGAACGACTTAATGCAGATGATGCCATGACTATGATATGATGCGTATGCTGGAATAATGAATGCGAAAATGCTGACGAAACATGACGACACCGAGACAGACGCCACGAGAAGAAACACACTGGGGGAAAATGACGCGCTGAGACACAGTACATCACTGGGGAATTCTAAAAATGATAGTCAACTGGTGCGAATGACCAATTGTCACTTTTAGAAAAGGAACGAGATCCTCGAATGGAGATGGTACCTATGAGACGGCCTCCACTGGGGAATCTAAAAATAAAACTGGATCACGTACGATTGTAAGATCGATTACAGAATGCTGGAGCATTGAGCAAGGAATAACATCCAAGCTTCTGTAAACTACCCCTCGTGACAGGATCAAACGGACTTTTCGGAACTCCGTAGCAAATATACAGGGTAAAGACCGACTGTATGCCAAAATAAATGGACTTTGATGGGAATCGCCCTGATAAGCTTCTCGAGGGAGAACTGTCACTTATCGTTGGAAGGGACTTATGTGCAAAAAATGGATAAGCACTCAAATAAAGAGGCTGCTG